CGCTGCCCTAAGCTCCGTGGCGGACCTCCCTCCCGCCCCCCCCCCCGCCCCGCCCCCAGGAGGAGTCCGAGAAGCAGCTCAGCCTGACGGAGGCCCAGACCAGGGAGGCCCTGCTGGTCCTGCTCCCGGGCCTCTCTGCCCCCACCCACCAGGTAGGAGGGGAGGCAGCTCTCGGGGGACCCTGTGCGGGGCGGAGGGGCGGGGGCGGGGACACGTCCCGCCCAACCTTGAACGCTTTTGTCGCAGAATTACGCCGAGTGGCTGCAGGAGCTCAAAGAGAAAGGCCCAGAGCTGCTGAAGCAGCCACCAGCAAACACGGCGCCCTCGGTGAGCGCGGCCGCTGTCACTCGCGCCCTGCCCTGTCCGCGGGATGGAGGGTGCCTGGAGCCGGCCATCGGGTTTTGGCTCAGCAGGCCCCTGTCCTGCCCTCCACCCTCAGGACCTGGCTGCCAAGCTGAGGGAGGCGGAGGAGACGCAGAGCAGCCTTCAGGCCGAGTGCGACCAGTACCGCAGCATCCTGGCCGAGACGGTGAGGCCTGGGCTCTGTGACCTTGGGCGAGTCACTGCCCCTCTCTGGGCCCAGTTTCTTTGGCTGAATGGTGAAGGGGGTGAGCTCAGGTTGAAGGTCTGGGGCACAGTCTGGGAAGGGATAGGACAGCGTTCAGCTTGAATCCGCTTTCCTGCGACTCCGGGGGCCACGTTCGCTCAGTCTCCCTCTGCAATGGCCAGTCCTGGGTTCCCCATCCTGGGCCTCTGAGGCCCACCTGGCGCAAACCCACCGGAGACGAGAGTCCTGACAACCTTGTTCACACACCGGCCGGGGACCCTCCGGAACTGTACCCCGTCCTCCCGCACGGCCGGCCGCTCTGGGCTCTGAGTCGGGTGGTTGTGGGGGGTTGGGGGGAGCCACGGGTGTGTTTGGGGGGGGCCTCCAGGCCTTGCTCAGTGCCGTCCCCACAGGAGGCCATGCTCAAAGCCTTGCAGAAGAGCGTGGAGGAGGAGGAACAGGTGTGGAAGGCCCGGGTGAGCACCACGGAGGAGGAGCTCCAGAAGGTACCACACGGCCCCCGGTCTCCCCAGGGCCCACCTTCCCTCGGAACCCAAACTCCACTCCCTCAGAATGCCATACAATCCAGGGGGAACGCCCACGGGGTTATCTGGGCCACTTGGGAGTCACGTTTGCTGGGTTTTGGTGATGCCACATACAGTGTCATTGTGGAATGACCGACAGCTGAGTCCTGGTCTCAAAGAGCCCCCCCCCCCAGCCCCACCCCCAAGGAAGAGGGTGCTGGTCATACCTGGGGGTGGGGGGGCGGGGGCACCACAGGGCTTCCCAGGAGGTGGGGTGCATCCTGGGACGGACCCCCGGGGCTCGTGCTTGACGGTGCTCCCCCTTCTTGCTTTGTAGTCGCGGGTCACAGTGAAGCATCTTGAAGAGACTGTTGGGAAGCTGAAAGGGGAACTTGAAAGTGCCGATCAGGTGCGTGTGGGCGCTATCCGGAGGGCTGCCGTCCTGCTACCGTCCTGCTACAGAGGCTCCTCTAGCAGCTTTCCTTCCCCGACCGCGTGTCCATGCTTGTCCTTAATGAGCCGTTACGACCTCAGGGTGGCTGGGCCCCGGTGCACCATGGCTTCTGCTGTGGCCTTATGAACCGTGGGAGGGTTGCCGGGTGGCCCTGCTGCACTCCGCACCCTCCTTGCAAGTAAACCTAAAAGCTGCTGAGGTCTGAGAACACGTGCGGCCCCAGGGTGCCTCTTCAGGAGGTGTTGGACCTGGGGGGCACCCCCCTGCCTGGCCTCAGTTGGCTCGTAGCCATCAGGCCACGGGGGCCCCTCTCAGCCCTTGTCCCAGGGCCTGGTGGCCCCAGCGCCCTGTCCCCGTGGCCCGGGCCCTCCCGCTGGCCGGCTCGAGGCTCCTGATGTGTGTCGTGTCCAGGTGAGGGAGCACACGTCACATCTGGAGGCCGAGCTGGAGAAGCACATGGCGGCCGCGAGCGCCGAGTGCCAGAACTACGCCACGGAGGTGGCAGGGGTGAGTGTCCCAGCGCAGGTGGGCTTGGTGGGGGCCCTGAGGCCAGGGGAGGGGGCAGCCAGGTCAGCCTGGCAGCGAGAGGATCTCTCTACCCGGTGTGGAGACACCATCTCTGCGGGGAAGGCATTTAAATCTGGCAGTGTTTTCTGACTCGGGGAGCAGAGAGCACAAGCCTGGCACCCCCGATCCTGGTTCGATCCCTGACTTCTGGCCTCGCTTTGCAAAAGAATCCACAAACATCTGTGAAGGCCTGAGACTAGCGTGTACTGAACACGATCCTTCCTCCGACTTCAAAAAAGAGCAGAAGCTCCTGGGAACCTGCGCCCACCCCTCCCCCACGCCCCACAGGCTCTCTGGGTGGCATATGTGGATGTGCTTGGTTGGGTGTGAGGTGCTGACTCACCGGAACTGGCTCTCTCTCCTTTTCTCCCACCACCCGGGTCTGTTTTCTGTCCAAGTTGAGGCAGCTTTTATTAGAATCTCAGTCTCAGCTGGATGCAGCCAAGAGTGAAGCCCAGAAACAAAGCGACGAGCTTGCCCTGGTGAGCGAACTGGTGTGGCCGGCGTGTGCCCTGGGGTTGGGTGTGTGTTTCCGCGTCCCGTCAAAGGGGACATGCGCCGGTCTGTGCTGGGCCCGGTGTGGACGGCCCCTCACACGTTTGCTCCACGCTGCACACCGGGCCTGTGGCTGCCGGGACCATGGGGCTCTGGGTCTGCGCTGGGAGCTCTGGGGGGG